TTTTACATTAAAATTAGTGGATCAATTGCAAAATGTGTTATTGATTCGCCTGTGATCGTGACGCTGTCGTGTGCGCTAACAGTTATCCTATCTATATCATCCCATTTGAGTTCAATCCAATCGCCATGGGTCGTTTGCAATGTCACTCGTTTGTAGTTACTTCTCGATTACTATGATAACCAGGGATTAACAGTTTTAAGCAGTTGTTAGACACAGCGCATGCAAATAGAGATGAGATTCCAAACTTTGATCCATTCCTAGTATTGATTTCCATTGGTTTACCATCACCGTTAAATACTACGTATTTACCACTTAGCCGAAATCAACGCTATCCTGATACGTCCTTGCTTCCTCCTTGTGCAAGTACCACACGTTTTCCCAGTTGAAGCCACGGTAGCCATTGGGTATACCTTTTGATTGTTGCATTGCTTTCGGTATATCAATGAAATTGATTATTTTGTCCAAATTTAAAACTTCGAACTTTTTCACGACAAGCAACGACAATTTTTGAATGTCATTCGAATCAATTAGCCTCTCAATACTTTTCACCTGTTTTCTGAGTGCATCACATTGCTGTTCAACGCACTGTAGTCTATCATGTTGTTTAATGTAATTTCGATTGTAATTTACTTTACAATTTACACATTGAATTTTCACTTATGAACATTGTTGTTCGTGTTCTTCTATACATTTTTTTAACATTATCTCTGTACATCCCTTACACTCTGTTATCTGATAACTGCATTCGAGTTCATGTTTTTTCAGAGATTCATACAACAATGTCTCTTGACAACCATTGCTTTTATTCACACAAGTTACTTTCGGTTTTGAGAGAATGTCAATCAATATTGGTCGCTTTTCGTTCTTCAAACTCTTCTCAACAATGAGGGCAGCTATCCTCGTTCTCTAACCATTTTTCGATACATTTTAAGCCAGATGCTTTTTCGCATGATTGACAGGCTGTTGGCTTCTCGACAATATTGTGGCATATCGGACATAAGCATACATCATAAAAGTACTTTGGAGGATTGCAAATCCGGTGGAAGGAACACATTCAGATTGAAACTTGGTTATGTCACTTGCTTCCATTTGATAATAGGTAAATGCTTTTTCCCTTTCTGTTGTTACGTAGTGTTAAACGTAACTTGTATCCTTTCTTGTGTCAGTGCCAACAATGAATTGTGCTTTTATGTTTTATTATCAAACATATTTCCATCAGACAACGAGGACATTACGTCAGAAAATGAAAATTTCTAAAGTTCCTGAATGAGATTTTCTACAGTCTTCGCTTGGAGCTGCTATTTGGAGTTAAAAGGAAGCAATGAAAATATTCTGAGTGTTCATAATCTTTTAGCAAGTAACAGATCCTGCATTGAAAACATACGATTCTACAAAACAGAATTCTGTTCGTTGCAGGTGACTTTTACACTTGATTCAGACAAAGTATACCGAATTAAAAGAACTATTTTTAAGCATAAAAAATATGATATCAATAAATAGATTATGAAGCACTTGAGACATGTTTTACTTTAAAACTTGCTTTAGTTTTCTTTGGATATAACACTTAGCTGTTCCTCTATGATCGTATATGTCATGCTTATTAGATAGTTAGAGAAGAAAGCCTGTGAGACCAACGATGAAATATGCACAAGGATTCAGTCTTGTAGAGATAAAAACAAGTATAATTTTGGGTATATTCGATCTTGATCCATGAAAAACTTGTTGTGTCCGTCCTCTTAAGTAGATAGTTTGACAAAAAGCATTTTATTCGATGAAGAAAATGATGTTTTTTATCATGATTAACTAAGACCATGGATCGATTGGTTACATAATAAGTTTCTTCGTACAGGAAAAATTCGTTTAGTTTTTTTCGATAGAAAAAATATAATACACTGATTCTAAAATGCAATACAACCATTGTTCGTAATTTAATCTCTAGAATTTTAATTTTGATCAATAAAAGTATCCGAAATAAGAACACAACACTGTTGCGCTCCCTTCAAGGAATAATTCTCATATTTGGTTGATCGCGTCGTCTAACACGAAGAAGACGCGTGAAAAAGAATAGATGTTCGACGAGAAAAGCGCCCGCAGCCGCCATCGATGATAATACTAAAAACAAAACAAAGTCAGAAAACAAAAAGATTAAGTTTCTTACGTTCGGCTTACAAACCTCCGCCTATAAGAATAATGCATGCCTGGGTGTTGCCTCGACAAACACCCGGTCGATAGACAGACGGATCATCCGAAGTTTCACTACTTCTCGTTGTTTCACATAGAACGTAGCCTGGAAAGAGGAACTACTATAAAGTAAAAATATTTTGTATTAATTATAACTTACCCCATATATTGAAGCTGTTAAATAAAAAAATAGATTTGTAAACAAATTAGACATGTATGAAAATTTCTTACCCAAATGCAATTAAAAATCCAATTGCAAATAGCAGATGGACAATTAAATCACATCTTTTGTTTGTCTTCAATCCATTTGATAACCATGCCCAAATTCGTTCGAGAGAATAGAACAATGCTATCCACGAGAGAATAAAAAAGAAGGTGCTGGTATGTGGTCCTGCACCAAACGGTGGCGTGAAAATGTACCAGTGAAACGTAACTTTTGCTTTCGATAGTTGATGAATGCATGTCTAAAATATTGAGTCTCAACTGAGATTTAAGTAATATGAAACAACGTCTTTTAGCTTCAAAAATAAGTTCTTACGCCCATTCCATGCTGAATTGTTACAACCAACAATGAAAAAAACAATCGAGCTATTTCAATTCGTCCATCATTTGTCAATCCATAATATTTTAGTCGGTCTAAAATTGTTGTTGTTGTTGTTGTCGGTACTTTCAGTGCTGACGAATCGAGAGGATTGACTAACTCAGAATTCTGTCTAAGTTTCAAATTTTTTTCATGCATATTTGTATGTTTGTCGGTTTAAATATATGTGATATCGAAGTTAGAGTGAAAAATTAAATCATGAAAAAGCCACACAAGTTAACTAAGAGAAGTTTTTTTTGTCTGAATTATTAATGATATACATTCATAAAAGGGGAACGTATTTTGAACAGTATTCACGCTGGAACTAATTGGACAACGGATTATCCTTTATAATTAATTGTAGAATAAAGAAAAAAAGTTAAAAGAAAAAGCAAACAAATTTATACGTTACTAGGGAGATTTATAGACGAACGTTTTAAACATTTATTTTAAAGATCTTTGTAATGTTTTTGATTTAGTGTTGATTCGATTCAATGAGAATATGTAGTATTAATGGTAGCTGATCTGTATATGAAGCAGATGACAAATTATTAGTAACAGCGATCGGCACTGATGTTGTTGATTTTCGTGCGCTGATAACAGTTATTGCGTATTTGATGACGATCACGGTGATGTTTTATTCATTGACAGTGGTGGAGACGAATAGAAATAAGTGACTGGTATAGAAGAAGATGGTTGGCACTTATATTATTCGTGTTAACGGACGGGATTAGACATAGAAATTTTAAAACATATGCGGCTATCCTTAACTTTATTCAACATGATTACGAGTTCATTAAAAATTGCTAGCAATAGAGTAGAATGGGGTAATTATAACTAGTCATCAATTCCTTTTCTTTTTGCCGATGGGTCGGTTATTTTCTGTTGAAGAAAAGGAGTATTTTACAGGTAGATACCTATGACTCTCAGCTACCCACTGATGTAAAAATTATTCGAAAATTCATTACCGTTAATTAGTACCATTTAATTTTCAGTTCGTTGCTATTAAATGGCTATAATTACCCCCAAATGGAATAATTATAACCACTACAACAACAATGGTTGGAGCACATATAAAACAGCTTTGGTTCAATGGTGAACTGCTACCGTTTTAATTAAAAATTAGTCCACCTTGCAAAGAATTTTGAATTTTATCTCGTTTATAAATTGAATCAATCAGTTGCTGCTAATTAATTAGCTGAACTTTACCACAATGAAAGAAAACAGTTATTTTTTTCGATATATACGAACTGGTGCAACTATAACCACACTACTATTTTTTGTGGGATATTCAAATAGCTGTAAGATTTTCGTATCGTTTCATGAAGCGGTTACTAGGTAGAAGAGCACAGTAAAACTCGCGACGGACCTTATTCAGCTGTCTGATCGCTTTCTGGTCGAAACCTAGCCGATTGTAGATTATCGACCACGCTGATTCCGAATATCCATATGAGACGGGCCGTTAGGCTTTCCTAGAACGGCTTTCTGGAAAACTGGTTTTCAAGAAACCTTGAAAAGTCCCTGAAGCGTTCTCTTAATAGATCACGATTGTAATCCTGATGAAAATGAGACATCTCCCACCTATACATGACCTTTCTTTGCAAAGTTATAGAATTTACAAGAAAAGCCCTAAATTAATTTCTTATTTCTGTAGCTTGGAAGATGTCCTATTTTGATCAGGACTACAATCGTGATCTATTAAGAAAACGTTTCAGGGACTTTTCAAGGTTTCTTGAAAACCAGTTTTCCAGAAAACCGCTCTAGGAAGGCCTAGCAGCCCGTCTCATATGAATATTCGAAATCAGCGTGGTCGATAATCTACAATCGACTGGGTTTCGACCAGAAAGCGATTGGACAGTTGGAAAAAAACCCTCATCAGATTGGAATCGAATAGGCTGTTTCTGGAAAGCAAATAATTTTTATACAAGAATATTTTGAAAATAAGCGTCTATGCAATTAGCCATTTTTCTACAACTGATATCCTTCATAAAAGCTTCCGTAAAATTTGTTTATATGTTTTCTATCACTTTATTTTGTTCGGACGATTACAAATTTCAAAAAGATAAGAAAAAATAATTTTGAACAACGATTTTGTTAAATGATTACTCACTTTGTTAATAATCACAAAATATAAACATCAAACAATGTAAAAAATCTAACGTATTTTTAAAATAGTTCAAAAATCTGGATATGACTATAAAGTCATTAGACGAACACACATATGGAAATTATACTTTGATTAATATTTAATGCCCACTGTACGATACAAACCCGCCAACGTCCAAATTGGTCCAATCAATAGAAATTGTAAATCTTTGAAGAATGCCGGCTTTTTTCCTTCAATTTCATGTCCGATGAATTGAAATATCCAGGCTACTATGAATAAAATTATGCATAAACGAAATATTTTAACATTCTTTAATTCCATGTTTGTTAAAATTCCCATCATAACAACAAACACAAGTGCCATACCCATACCTATTTTAGTTGATAGACGAAAATAAAATGCTAATAGACCTAAAATACAGACATTTTACTGTGATGAAACATCGAAATATAAATAAAATCTCTTCATCTTACCTATTATTGCTAGTGCTGCCATGTTGACCAAACCAACTTTTCCAACACTTAACAAATGACGAAATCGACCTGATGGAATGGGTAAAGCCCATAAAAATCCGACTACTGTAAATAAGATGACTGGTACAGCTACTTTATGAATGAGGATATTGATTGGATTTATATGACTGTCATTATATTCATCTAGCCATGCATATAGTTCAGTAGACATCTCAATATTCTGTCAAAAAAATAAAAAATAAAAAAATGAACAAAAACTAATCATACTATTCAAGTCTTTCACTTCATTCATCGTTCTATAATCCGAACGATATTTAGATTGGTTCTTGGTAAAAAACATTTTAAAAAATAAAAAATAGTTAACGATTACTGAGTTATTGCCAAATAGACAGGCCTGTAGTCAGGATTTTTGCGAAGGGGGAGGGTTGACTTTTTTGTCTTCAGAGATAGAAGTTTTATCAACTAGCAACTTTTTCTGACGGGATTCAGTGGAAAAAATCATTTTTTCAAAAGTCAGGGGGGGGGCCGNAATATTACGTTGTTGTCTTTTTCAGAGCATTTCTTCATGGGGAAAATTTGAAAATACGGAAGAGCCTCTGTTCTGAGGAAACCCTTCTCTTCGAGAAAAACGAGTGTAGGTCTTTTCCGTTTCGTTCTGAAACTCTCAAACCTTTTTTTCTGGTTTATTTTGGAGTTTAATTTATTTTCTTGAATATATGCACAGAATTAATCATTTCTTATCAATATTATACACAGTCATACAAAACACGACATAAAAGAAATGTCTTTTTTTCTGTTTAACAATAAGAATTAGAAAAATTAGAGCTCACCGGACAGTACTAATGGGAAAATGAAAAAAAACACAGACAGATTGAATTAGCATTTTAAAAATATCTCGTTACTACATAGAAAAAAATAGTTCATATATCTGACGATAAACGAATGGTATATTTTTTTCATACTTGTTTCTCACTAAATATATATTTGTTGTTATCACAAAGGAGAGAGAGAGAGAGAAAGAACAAGACAATTGTAGAAGATAACAAAAAAATATACGAAAATAGAAAAACAAGAGCAGAACATAAAATAAATTGAAGAAAAGAAAATAACTGTAAAAGTGAATAGATATCACTGACATTTCATTCATTCATAATCAACGACGTCTGCCTCGTTTGGCTGTGGCTTTTTTCCTACAAAAAAAGAACAAGAAAATTTCCAATTAATCTTCAACTTATGCAAATTGCTCAGTTCACTAAACGCTTTCATATGTATACCACCAAATTAAGGCCTCATTTATTTTCATAATGTAAGGCGTCGCTAATTCAAAGTTGAAGCAGCATTTTATTTTTGACTTATTTATACAAATTTTATTTATATATGTTTTCAATTACAAACATCCTCGATTTGTAAGAAAATTAAGCTTCTCTGTCAATACTCCGTTTTCCTTGTCACACCAGTATGATGACAATTTTACAAAAATGAAATAGTACAACAAATAGTTAACAAAATTGTAAGACACCACTAATTCAAAGTTGAAATAGTATTTTATTTTTGACTTATTTATACATCATTGAATAGAGCTCGATGAGCTGATTCCGAATATTACGTTGTTGTCTTTTTCAGAGCATTTCTTCATGGGGAA